AAATTTCATCAATTCCAGAGGCTTTTTTCCGTTTGCATTTATCCACAACATTTTTTACCTCTTCAACAGAAAAATTTGCATTCAAAAATGAGTTACAATTATTTACATCAACTCTCATTTCAGTTTCCATAACCTCATTTATACTAGTTACTTCACTCAAAAAAGTATCATCAAAAGAACTTTTGCAACCACAAAATAGATCTGTGAAGTCTTTTTCCCACTTTTGTAATACTACTCCTAAAACAGAACTATATTCACCATTCTCGAGTTTAACCTCCATGGGGATTTCCCTAGACTTTCTGGGACCCAATCTATTGATTTCATTCCAGAACTTTTGGGGGTTATGGGTTTGTAAATAATCAATATGCAATGACAGACCTCTATTAAAACTGCATTTCACTGTGCGTAACCTTTTATCAAAATTAATTTGGCTTTTCTTAAATTCTATCTTCAGCCCTTCCCTCAGATTTTCGTTTTTGCATCTTAGAAATCTTTTCTCTGCTGTTCTTAGATTGTCCCATAGGGTCTGCAAATCTTGATTCCAGTAGGGTTTGTAGATTTTACTAAAACCTTTATGAGGATTACATTTCTTTTTAACACATTTATTCAATTCTAAATGGACACAGCCACACAGTCTATCATACCAGGCATCCAGACTCCTTTGATTATTTTTAATACCTCCCAGTTGTACACTTAAGTTAAGCAAAATGTTGTTACATTGGCTAGAGGATAAAAATGAATCAGGGAAATGTTTTTGTGTTACTGCTTTTATAGTCTGTGGTAGATATAAGTCATCCTCAACAAAGCTTGGTCTTACTTGAACCTTTAACCATAATAATGAATGATAGGGTAATTTACATCTATCACCCAGTAGAGACAAATCCCTCTTCCCCTAATCTCTCAATAAACTCATTTGGGGTGAAAACACAAAATGTATCACAAATGTTTAAACATTCATGAGGAACAATAATATAGTCTACTACCGCCTTTCCTTTAACTGAAACCGAGGTGAAGTTATCTTTGCCAAAAGGTATTCTCCCATTGATCACACAGCATTTTGCATCTCTCAAAAAATCTATTAATATTTCCCCATAGTTATTAATGGTGCTGTCTAAGTTATTTCTGTTAGGAATATTATCCACATCACTTATACAATAATCAAGACGACCAATGTGGCTGTTGAAATCCCTATACATGTAGATGTAAACATAGTGTCTTTAAGCCGTTTACATGGTTGCATAAACTGACATCTCACTATAATGCACCTCTGTACCTCAGTCAGTATTACACCTTAATATTTAATTGCTACTGCATGATTAAACAAAGAAAAAAAATATGCTATATCTCATCAGTACTGACTTGTATGTTGGCCGTTTCAGCACTCCACAGAATATGTCAAAGCAGTTTTGTATCTGCAAAATCACCTTGAAATATTTTCCCAGAAATGATCATTCTGAAAGCTGACCTGAACCAGCTGTAAAAGAAAGCATAAATAAATGGATTGAGCATTGAATTTGACAGTGCAAGCCAGTTAAGAGTTTCAAACAGCGGAAGTGGCACTGACACAAAAATCTGGTGTCATGTTAAAATACAGTATAGAGTTGTACTTAAATAAATGACAGCCAAAGATCCAATGGATTAAGGTTAAGAACGGTTTAATCTTAATTGTGTGACCTCTTCTCACTACTGGTTCATCCACAGACTATTTCAGCACTCTAGAGTGTATGTCAGAGTAGTTTTGCATCAGCAAAATCACCTTGAAATATTTTCCCAGAAATGATCATTCAAAAAGCTGATCTGAACCAGCTGTAAAAGAAAGCATAAATAAATGGATTGAGCATTGAGTTCAATAGTGTCAACCAGTTCAGCGTTTCAAACAGTGGAAATGACACTGTCACAGGATTCAAAGTCTTAAGAGAAAAAACGATCATGTAGGGAGTCCAGCACATCAGAAAAGCTCCCAGTACGATAGCCAAAGTTTTTGTGGCCTTTCTCTCGTTCTTACTAATGGTTGTTCCAGACTTTGAGCTCTGACAAGTTGTGTTCCTGATGCTGTGTGCCTGTCTCTGTGCCACAAGGAAAATCTTTAGGTAGATAGAGAGCACTATGATGACTGGTCCGTAAAATGAGGAAATTATTCCGAATGTGTTTATTAGTAAAACATGAAGGAAACAATTTTCTTTACATCTTTCTTGATGTAAATCATGTACTATGAGGCTAATTGTAACACTAGCTGAAGCACTCCAGCTGACCAGAATCATGATCACAACAACACGACCATTTATCTTAGTTCTGTATGTCAGAGGCTGACACACTGCATAATATCTGTATATGGAAATACAACATAAATTCAGAATGGAAGCTGTGCTCAGTGTTACATCAAAGCTATCTCTCACTTTGCAAAATAAATGTTCATAATGTAAACATGAGCTAAGAGAGAAGGCCATGCTGAGAGGAAAAACTACAAGACCAACAAGCAGGTCAGCTACAGCCAGAGAGAGGATGAGAGAGTTTGTAGGAGTGTGGAGCTGTTTGAAGTAAATGATAGAGATTATTACCAGAAGGTTTCCACATACTGTGACAACAGATAATGACCCAAGGAAAATAAATATTAAAACACATATTGTAGAAGGAGTGCTTGTCAGTCTGTAGGAGACATTATATATTTCATAACAGGGATGTATGTCATTCACATCAGTGCGGCTGACTTCTGGTGCCATGTTTCTTTATTCCTGTAAGAATGTCCATTAAGAATAAATATTTTCCATGAGGAACCAACAACATTAATGCATGAAAGATGTATGTTTATCTTAAAATATTTTGATATTCATGAATGTTAAACTACAATGATAAATCTCTAGAATAAAATATTTTGTTTGTCGTACCTTTTAAATGCTCAAGATAGTTTGCAGTATTGATGGGTGTTCTTCATTACAGTGCCACTGTGCACACTGTTTTTATCAACCCCTATCTCATTACCATAATGAACACACTCTGTTATTGTCCAATCAGAAGTGAGACTTTTTATTGTGATGATATTAGATGCCAGAGCAACATACAGAACAATAGATGAGAATACTTTTAAAATCTCGTTTGAATCCTTTTATTTTGCCAAATGGAATGGGAAATCCTATTCACACTTTGACGTTTGAAGCACAACAGAACAAAAAAGAAGGTGGTGTCTGTGCCTTTTTCAGAGATAGATTTCTTTATAAGAAGCTATCATTTGGTGAGTTCTCATCTTTTGAATATGTCATTTAAAATGGAAATGAAGTTCATTATTGAAGGTCATAACAGATGATTTCAATATACACATGGATAATGTATGTGAGAAAAATGCCACAGAACTTTCTGCCATACTTGACACATTTGATCTTTCTTAACATGTGAGAGAGCTGACGCATAATAGAGGACACACTTTAGATCTTGTCATTACTAAAGGTGTTAAGATGTCAGATGTCACTGTGCTTGATATTGCTCTATCATGATTTCTGTGTATTTTCTGATCGGTCAGTAACTCCCAAAATTGTCCATGGATCAGCAAATGCTGAAAAAAGTACTTTAATGAGAGCACCAAAACACTTTTCATGAAAAGTATCACATTTGAATCTGCCATTATTTGATGATCTGTTGAATTCCTTCAAATGTCATTGATGCCATTGCTAGTGTTAAGGTGAAATTCATTAGTAATAAGGCAAAAGGCATCATGGAGAAACACTCATTCTGTAAGGGTCCAGAAAAGGAAGTGCCGGAAAGCAGAACAAATATGGCGTAAATCAAAGCTCCACATGCACTTTGAAATCTATAAAGAAATATTATGCATTTATAATCAGACCTTGCGAAGTGCAAGGCAATATTTTTCTCTGACAAAACAATAGAACGCACATGTATTATTTGCTACTGTAGACAGATTAACTAACCATCAAGTTCCAATATCACCAGAACTAGTCTCCACCAGCAAATGTAACGAGGTTGCCATTTTTAATAACAAGGTTCAAGACATCAGATGTGTGATTAACTCCTTGATGCTGAAGAATAAAGTACCATCATTGTAGTCTTCTCAAAGTAACTTGTTAGGTATGACAGAATTTAGGTCTGTCAATGACAAAACACTGAAAAAAATTGTCACCAGTCTCAGTTCTTCCACTTGCTGACTTGATGTTTTACCCACTAGCTTCCTTAAAACTGTGCTGAGCAGCCTGGTAAAACAACTAACTGTGATAGTTAAAGCAGCTGTGCGGAACTTTTCGTTTTCGTTGATTGTAGCGCCCCTTTGGTTGAAGCGGTATGACACCATGGTGTCGTAAAATCTCGACTGCAACTGGCAATTACGGCATGCATTTGTTTTGGAGAGCGAGAGGATTAACTAATGTCAGGTCAGTCCAAGTAATTAGTGGAAACAGCAAAATGATTCAGTAAATTCTGCTGTCGTGTTTCTGTTCTGATCTAATTCTAACACAGCAAAGCTGTTACCTGCAGCCTTCGCTTGCAAAGCTAACACTACTAACGTTAGGTCAGTCCGAGTAATTAGTGGAAACATGCTAACATGCTAACGTTACACAAGTTAGAAGTAAAGTAAGACCTGTTCATAAATGTTCTGGTGTAGCTCTGAATTTCTTATAAACTAAGGACAACTGCCTGCTGTATATTTGTGTTCATGGTCACAGTCACAGAATTTTGTGGCGTTTGTTGTAACGTTACTAGACAAAAGCGGTTCACATCAGCTAACGTTACATTTAGCTTGCTTCCAACTTCCATGTCATCATGTACTGAAGTGAAAAAACGTCAAACAAGTTGCGTTATATTCTATAAATAAAAACAAAAATTACATACCTGTCGATTACGAAAAGGGCCAACTCGGGATCAGTTTTAAAACCTTTCAATTCTCTCAGCTTTCTCCACTTGGTGAATGCCCGACAGAGGTTTACACGAGCCCTATCACTGTCCCGTTTAGCCTTCTTCTGTTCTTTTTCTTTTAGATGGTGCTCCTTCGTTATCCGCCATGACTTCAAAAGTATAACCAAGTCCTTATAGATACATCACTGGTAAAACTGTTATGTGTTCAGCAATGCCTGTTGCATACCGCTTACTTACTTACACTCTCTGTAAACACGGCTCCTTCTCCTTCTATGGTTTAATGGCTGCGGGCCGCTGCGGGCGAGCAGAATCACTTCCGCCTCGGGTGCCGTATTCTGGTTTGCTGACTTCCGCTGTCCTTCCGACCCGCACGAGGCTACGCTAAATAGCCATATAGAGAAAGGCTTTTTGTCGCTGTTGGGTTCAAATAAACATGCGGATCTTCGAGAGGGGGTGATACGAACTAGAGACAGTTTTATAAATGGTAAAAAGTTCCGCACAGCTGCTTTAAACAGTTCAAAAAATATTCAGCCATTTAACATGTATTTAGTTTTTTTGATAACTTTTATTGTTTTGACACAATCACAGTTAAACTTTTATCAAATCTTTTTACAATGTTCAGACTTTACAATGGGTATGTATTGTACAGCACCTTGGCAGCTAAAGTGGATGATGTCATCGCTAGAGTGTAAAGATCTACCATGTTGTCAGTTTTACTTGTCATCACGGTCAATGCCATATGTGTTTTCTCTCTCTCTCTCGGCTTGAATGTGAAAATCAGGTCGATCACAGAGACGCAAGAATCACATCTCTTAAGTGTTTATATAAGTCTATTGCCTCAAAAGGGTCTCTTGGAATAAGCAGGTGTGATTCCGTCATGATGATGTTACATAGGTCATACACATCTTGGTCACATGGAACACTTTGGCGAAAGGTGGATGCATCTCTGCATAGCTGCAGATCTCCATCATTGGCAGATGAAAGGTAGTCCCTCATTCCATAGAGCTCAGGTAGTGCATACATGACAGCAGGCCTGCCGCTTGGCACATTAATGTTCTTTGATAGCCTGATCATGTGTAAAGACCACACCTCTGCTGTCTCATCCAAGTCATCCTAAAATAATAAAACACATGATTTTACTATGATGTATAACCTCATGATATACAACCACTTATTTTAATTAAATTTATATTTTTAATTATATTTGATCATTACCAATACCTTCCCTTATGTCAGTATTAAAATATTTGTGGGCCAATTAATAATTGTGCGCAAGTGCATTCATTAACACCCTCTATGGCATGACTTTTTATTTTAGGGGGGGAAAAATATTTCACTCCAAACATGCATAGGGACACACGGATATACAATACAGACACACACACACACACACACACAGATGCACACACACACACACACACACACACAGAGGGGAGGAGGAGACATAGGAAACATGGAGAGCACAGGGAAACTCCTGTCATAATGTCTGGTGAAAACTATTTCCCTCTGCAAATATGTAGGCCTAACATTGTGTCCTATCATAAATCTATGGTTCTACATTAAATGTGTATTCATGTAACATCATGTAAACAAACCACTGTGCTGGTCAGTTGTGTGCAAATCTAAACAAACCACATAGGTTAGCTGTGGTCTCTAGATCATATTTAAGACATTACCAAGATGGGTCAGTATTTGGTATCTTTATATGTTTGTACTTTTAAAACAGAACATACATGCTATATATGATGACATTTAGTGGAAATGACATAAAATATAGCCAACAGCACTTAGGTTGTTATTATTGGTGGTCATGACCAAAAACTTTCAGCTCTGGTTTACGGGTTGGGTTCAGATGATTGAGACATATCTTTACAGGTGCGGTTCAGGTCATTGATGAAGATATTGTGTGGTGTAAGAATGTCAATGTAACGAGTCTCACTTGGTTTCAGTCTTGCATGAAAAAATAGCTGCCATTTACTTTGCTGTGCCATTCGTACTGCCAACACAAACACACACACAGAAAGCTCAACAACCCTGACGTAAAACGTCGTAATGTCATAAAACAGAATAGTGTCTGTCTTACTCACACATAACACCCCCCCCCCCCCTTTCAAAACCCAACACAGCCGAGTAACAGTAGAACAGTCTCTCACAGAACAGGAGGAGATGTTAACAGCTTATGTATGAAACGTAGTAACAAAGTCTTTGAAGTGTGAAGTGTGGGCCCAGTCCCGCTGTGGCCTGCCCTCCGCCACCATGGGATGAGGCCCTGTGCGGCTGGTGGCTGCAGCGGATACCCGGGTGGCCTAACGGCCCTTGGCAATACGGGTCTTGGGGGTTTCAAAACCGTTCCGTCCATGTCTGCCACACCAGCAGCTGGTAGCAGTGTAGGCGTGGGGGCGTAGCTGGCCCCAAAGAAACAGGTACTTTGCGCAGTTGGCTGGCATGCCAGCTCAGCATGAATGTGGCCGGCCCTAGCTGACGTGTCACCTGAAGGGGCTGAGACCAGAAAGATGCCATTTTGTTGCATCGCTGGGGCCTACGGGCCTGAACCCAGTCCAACACCTGGATAGTGGTGCTCTTGACTCTGTGTTTCTTATCAAAACGTTGCTTCATCTCCCGCTGCTTTTCCCTCACTGCTGCTTGAGCGGCATCTCGGCCGCTGAGTGTTTCAGGTGCCACTGCATCTCAGGGCCTGAGTCTGCCCAGTGGCAAGTCCATCTCACGGCCCAACATGAGGGATGCCGGAGAAGCCTGCGTTGTTGTATGCTGGCTCACTCTGTAGTGTAAGAGTGTTTGATTGAGCGCAGTCTGAAATGTGCAGCCCTGGAACAGATGTGCTCAGATTCCATTTTTCAGGCTTTGGTTGAAACGTTCAACCCCCCCGTTGGCCTGGAGGTGAAAGTATGCTGTGCGGATGTGCTTAATCCTTTTCCCACTGAGAAAGTCCGAGAATTGTGCTGCCACAAACTGGGGTCCATTATCTGTGGTGATAGTGAGTGGCAAGCCCCATCGTGCAAGCAGGCCGTCCAAGATGTCGATAATGACTTGACTCTACCTGCTGGGGTCACTTAGGGCCATTTTGAGTGAAGGTCGTATACCACCACTAGTCAACATTGGTGGTGCGGGACCCCTCGGCCGTGGATTTCACCACAGATGTCGAGCTGTAGATGCTCTCATGGGCGGAATGGCCACAGGACAGGCTGCAGGGGCGTCGCAGCCGGTAGCCTGCATTTCCCACTGAGGAGGCATGGCTCGCAGTCTTTGACCATGGTCTCAATGTCGCGGTCGATACCTGGCCATCACACTAGGTCGCGGCATCGTTGCTTGACACTGACTATCCTCAAGTGACCCTTGTGCGCCATTGCCATGATACGTGCATGTAGGGTACTTGGGACCACAGTGCAGAGGCCCCTGGAGACACAGAGTCACCCCAGCAGAGAGTTTGTGTAGCACCCTAGCAAATGGGGCAAGATCCTCAGGCACCCGTGGAGGCCATCCAGTCCGTATGTAGGTGCGCAGGGTAGACAGCAGTGGGTCCTGTTCTGATTCCCGCCACAGCTCATCCAATGACACCACTGTTTGCAGGGGCCCGTGCAACAGCTGGATGATCTCGGGCTCTTCCTCGAAGGTGGCAGGAGAAATGGTTGGAGTGGAGGTGTCGATCGACCGAGAGAGGAGGTCTGCAACCACATTGCCACTACCTGGAGTGAACTTGAGCTGGTAGTCATACTGCCTGAGCCGCTCCCCCCACCTATGCAGACGGAGGGGCCTGTGGCCGCTGCCCAAGGCGGACAGCAGAGTAGTGAGGGCCTGGTGGTTTGTACGGAGGGTGAACTGGCGGCTGTACAGAGAAAGGCGCCACCTCTCGCACACCCAGACACAAGCTAGTGCTTCACGTTCGCCGACTGAATACCTCTGCTCAGCGGGGTTCAGGGCCCTGGAGGAAAAGGCAAACGGCCTCTAGGGTTGGGTTGATTCTCGGAAATACTAATTTGGTTCGGTACTCCGTCTTGGACTGGGTTTTTTGTTTTGAGACTGACCAGACCGCATATGTCACTTTATGGCGGAACGTACGTGGAGCAGACTCCACAGAGGTCCGCCCGGACTAAAAAGTGGACGTCTGCAAGCCCTGTGCGTGCAAAGCTCAGATTTTACAACCACACGGACTCCGCTCTGCGCACCAGTGTCACACAAAAGACTGCTCGGCATGCATTTTTCACATCGCGGGGATTTTTCATCAACATTTTTACAGGAAAATACAACGCGGAAGTGCGCTCGACTATGGAAGCCCGAATGACTGCGGACATTCCTCGTGGAGTCCGCTCCGCTTAAAGTACACCCGAGTCTGTGAGCACCTGTGTCTGCCTCTTCGCCAAGCGCACAGTGAGCAGAAGAGAGAGGGGGGTAGGGCAGGGACTGAGCTAGGGGGTGCAATTGCGCATGCGCGGAGGCCTCTACTGTAGCCAGGAGTTTGTTTAACAGTGACGGGGAGTCGATAATGTCTCGAAGAAACCAAAGAATGTGCCAATATGGCAACACTTTGGCTTTGAGCCAGACGAAGGAGGCAACCCTTGTTTGCACTGACTGAGTAAGCTAAACCTGCAAATTTATTTGTAAGGAATAAAAGAAACAACGTGTTACTGTCACTCTATTGTCCTAAGGTCGTTTTTTATTTTAAATGAGTCAATTGTGCCCCCAACTGGCGAAAATCCGGTATTACCAACTTGATGAGGTTTTTCACAAAAAACGGACCGTTTTTTTTTCCTCATACCAACCCAACCCTACCGGCCGCTCGACGCCGTTTTGTGTCTGCGAGAGGACAGCCCCCACCGCTCCAGCTGAGGCATCACAGGTGACAAGGGTGGGGCTGGACGTGTCAAAATGGGCCAAGATGAGGGTGTGGTGAGCTGAGCCTTTAGTGAGCTGAAAGCCTCTGAGCAAGCTGCAGTCCAATTCCACGGCTCCTCCTTTTTGAGGAGGTGGCTAAGGGGAGCGGTGGTCTGAGAATAATGGGGCAGAAACCGGAGGTAGTACGCCGTCATGCCTAGAAACGAGGCTACCTGGGAAGCTGAGGTGGGCTCAGGGATATGATGTATGGCATCGACGTTTGACAGGAGAGGTGTGATGCCCTTAGCTGACAGGCGAAACCCCACAAAGTCAATGGCGGCAGCAGCCGTTCAGGGTCAGATTGTTCTTCTGGAGGGCCGCAAACACCCTGTTGAGCTGCTCATCGTGAGTTTGCTTGTCTGGGGCATGGACCACGATGTCATCCAAGTACACAGTCACCCCAGGGATACCAGCAAGGATTGTGGTCATAACCTTTTGGAAACAGCTGGGGGCGGAGTTAAGCCCAAATGGCAACCGGGTGTACCGGAACACCCCGGCATGTGTGACGAAAGCTGTCAGGTCCCTGCTGGCTGGGTGAAGGGGCACCTGAAGAAAGCCCTGCCTCAGGTCGAGCTTCGTGAAGACCGTGGAGCCGTAGAAGAGAGTGGTCAGCTCCTCTGAGGTAGGTAAGGGATACCGATCTGGAATAATGGCCTTGTTGACATGCCGTAGATCCACACAGGCTCTCAGCCCCCCAGTTTTTTTTCTTTGCTATTACAAGGTTTGAAATCCAGGGGGCAGCGTTGACTGGCTCGATAATGCCTGCCTCCAACAGCATCTTCAGCTCCTTTGTGACCTCATCCCTCAACGCGAGGGGAATCCAGTGCAGGGGCTGTATGACCGGGGGCACCTCTGTGTTCACGAGGGGCCTGTGTGTAAAAGCTGTGAGGCAGCCCAGTCCATCAAATAGAGCTGGCCATATCTGCTCCCAGGTGGAGATGACTTAGTGAATGGGTGAGCCGCTGTTGTCACGCAATGAGAACCCTAATGCTGGCACCCCGCTTCGCAATGTGAAATGGAAATGCAGGAATGTGCTTGGGTCCGTATCGCACCTGTATCTGGAGGACGCCCAAAATCCCAATCCTTGAGCTGATGTATCCGAGCAGAGGAGTGGAGGGCCGCTGCAGTGGCAGGTGTGCAAAAAACTTGTTGTGAGTGCCGAGATTGAGGAGAGACGCAGCCGCCCCTGTGTCCACCAGCAAGGGAAGGCTCACATCTCCGAGCTGCACTGTCCATGTCTTAAAAGTCACATGGTTAATGGTGGGCAGCAGAAGGAGATCTACAAACTCTGGCAAAATGGTTGGCCTTTAAACAGTTCCTGCATATTAGTCCTCGGGCTGGGCAGTTTGGAGCCCGTGTCTTATGCGAGCTGGATGCACAGTTACTGGATTACTGTAACTCTCTATTATCAGGTAGCTCTAGTAAGTCCTTAAAAACTCTCCAGCTAATTCAGAATGCAGCAGCACGTGTACTAACAGGAACTAAGAAACAAGATCATATTTCTCCTGTTTTAGCTTCTCTGCACTGGCTCCCTGTAAAATCCAGAATTGAATTTAAAATCCTACTGTTAACTTATAAAGCTCTAAATGGTCAAGCTCCGTCATATCTTAGAGAGCTCATAGTGCCATATTATCCCACCAGAAC